TATTTAACACTGGCAGCAGGGTGCTGGGTTTTCCTCCCACAGACAATAAATGAAAAACGCCTGAGAGATGGTAGCTGCCTGCGGCACAGCTGTCTCCCGGGAGATCTGCACAGAGCACCTGGGTTAGGGGCCCTTAGCTCTGGCCAGGAGCAGCACAGATGCTGGGGTCTGGAGCCAGGAGGGCAGGGAGGATGGGTGAGTGCCTAAGGCCGCTGGCCTGTCCAGGAAATAAATGAGCAGCCTGCTTTACCCCACCTGGCTTGCAAGATGCAGCCCTTTCTAACCTCTCCACCCCCGAGTGACTTTGACAGTCCTTTGAACTTCATCTTATCTGGATGAATTCATGGGGGAGGAAGCATAGTAGGCGCACTCTGAGGCTGGGATGCAGGTAACAGCTATGGAGCATGAGCTGGGTTCAAATCCTACCCCCACCTTGACACAGTTTAGCTTCAAGTTCACCATTGACCAATGGTGGGTAAAGGTGACCACCGTTTAGGATTGTTGTCATGGCAAACTGAAATGAGGCTCTAAAGCGAGTGTCACCCAGAGAGCACCCACTGACCGCTCCTTGCCTTCCCTCTCCCCACGTCCAGGGTCCCCCTTCTGTTACTCCCAGGGGCGTGCCACCATTTTATTGTAGTGCAGCTGCCGAAGCACGCTGTGTATCCAGCTCAAAGGGGCTATCAGCGATAAGAAAATGAAATGGAATAAACCTGAATGCATCAAGCCAAGCAGCGTTTTCTGATTGGCGCAAGCCCTCCAAGGAGCCGACTAAAACAGTAAAGGGGAAAAAAAGTCATTCTTGCAACGTGCGTAATCTGATGGAGGCAAAAGCTCTCTGCGGCCCCGAGATCTCGAGGCATTCTTCTCAGATTCGGAGCAGCCCGGATGGGCTGAAGATAAGCCTCCCCTCCGAAGCCTTCAGGGACACATCCCCAACCCTCGGCTATAGAAGCTCAAAATCGCTCTGTCTATTCACCAGAGATATAGCCCAGTCTCCCAAAATCCCCCCGCTAAGCCTTTTGAAATCACAGGAACCATCTGCTTTAGGCATAGAAATGAGACATTACAAAAAGTTGCCACACAAAGGTCATTATTTCTGGAGGACAATGGAGGAAAACAAAGCCTTTAATAAAGGCTTCCGAAGCCGCCACCGCACACAGCGGTCCCGCGTCCCTGCCGGGCGGAGGGCCGTTCCTGCTCCTACCCAGCGGCCTTGCCATGCACGTTATGCAGCGTGAGCAGCCTCATCCCGCATCCCTCTCCTGCCTCCGCAGCAGCCCGCCTGGCTGCTCCACCCTGGACTTGGGACTCTGAAGTGCAGGCTCCTAATGGCTCCGTTGTCGTCACAGCCTAAGTGAAGCGCGGAACTGTGGTAATTACCCAAATGATCCAGAGAAGAGGGAAAAGAATTAAACACCCTGTGCTGCAAAATACAGTTTTGAAGGCCTGGTCCAACAGATTGCCAAATGCTCCACTTTCTCAGATGTCCAGAGAGGTAATAATTAGCACAAGTAGCTGATCTTTCCCCCAGGAGCACCGTGTACCCTGGACGGCCCCCTAGGAGAAGATGTCAAGTATACAGCGTCTCAACAAAACCAGCCAAGGGGAACAGGGCAGATAGCTCAGTGGATTAAAGTGCCTGCTTAGGCAGATGCAGGGTTTGGGGTTTGATTCCCGGTGTGCTGTGCCAGCCCTGTCCCTGGGGTGCACTGAGACAGTGATTGAGACTGGGTGTGATGGGGCGCACCTGCAATCCCAGCGCTTAGGAGGCTAAAAACAGGAGGCTCACTACAAGTGGATCTGTGTAGTGAGACCCTGTAGACCCTGCACTAAATACATTAAAAAGGAAAAAAAAAAAAAAACAGCCCAGGGCCTTTTCCTCTCTCAGAGGGAGGAATATACCCCTGAGATTCTCAGGGTTGGAAGCGCCCCACAGGATGCTGAAAATCTAGAGTCCTTAAGCACCAGTGAAATCCTACCATTTAGTTCTCTAACCTGGCGGAGCAGAAACTTCCCAAAGTAACTGGTGCTCCCCCAGGCATGACGGAGGGTCGCAGACAGTACCGAGTCTGCTCCAGATCACTGGCCAGAGGCGAAGTCCTCATTTGCCTCCACAGCCTACACCTTCACAGGCACAGGACAGACCACCACTGCCAGGTGCGTGCCCACTGACAGGAAGGCAAAGCGCCAAGCACCCACTGGAGTTCCCCCAAAATTAACAAGTAATGACAATGTAGCCCAGTAGCACTGAGGATTTTCTTTCTTTCTTTTTGTTTTGTCTTTTTGAGACAGGGTCTCACTATGCAGTTCAGACTGGCCTTGAGCTCACTTTGTAGCCCAGGCTGGTCTCGAACTCCCCACGATCCTTCTGCCTCAGGCTCCCGAGTGCTGGGAGCCCAGTGGTGCTGAAAGACAGCAGAGAGACATTTAGTGTCCTTGACAGATTCTGGTGGAACTAGGGTCCAATCCTACTGTGGACCAGATGTGAGACCTTGAACAAGCCCTAACCACCGCCGCATCCCACACTGCATGAAGCCAGATGACAAAGACTATTAACACAGAATGTGACACACAAACAAAGGGCAGGCGTGGCAGCGTTCACTGCTCACTCCGCAAAGGCTGCCCTGTGCATACAACAAGGAAGACTGCTTGTGTGGCCCTCAGGGCCCACCGAAAGGCGGGACTGGAGAGGCGTCTGTCCTCCAGGTGGGCTCGGCTTGTCCTGATCAACTTGCTAGTTCCTTAGAGAGCCCGTGCGTTGGGGATGACTGGTCATTTGTGGCTCTCTAAGTTCTCTCGCTTGACTCTGAATGGAAGGTTAGAGCTGGCCAAATACAACTCTGAAGAGTGAAAAGTTTAGCTCCGTGTCTTGTGACGTTGACAAGTGACACGCTTGCTTAAAGGAGGGTCCCACAGTCTATATGTCATGTCCCCTGCCAAATGGGAGATGATGGCGATTCTCTTCCTCAGCTCCTGCAGCACAGATTCATTTCTGCCTGTCGTAGTTTCTCCCACAGATCCCAGGAAGGTGGCCTGCCGGGAGATGCTCCATCACCCAGCAGCTGCTTGGAGTGCAGGCTTTCACCACGTCTCATGGACCCCTAGGTCCACACAGGAGCTCTAGGGGCTTGCAGGGGCAGTGCGGGTGGGCAGGGACAGAGTGCTGCACCTTGCCGACACGGCCAGTGCTGGAACATCAGGCTTGTTTATGCTGGAATTTGTTTTAAGACTTTCTGTGAAAACAGGATTTGCTCCTAAAAGAAAAGCTTGAGAGTCACCTTTCTAGTGGCTTCTGAGGGCAGAAGTTTGACTTAATCTCAAGAGTCTTAGGGGCAGAGGTGAGCAACCCTCACGGGGGAAGCCATCTTATATCTTTTGGTCCATTTAGACACCTGCCACATGCACACCAGGTGGTGATAAGATAAAAACTGTGGTGAGCACGCTGGACAGACACCCCAAAGGCAGGAGAAGGGGCCAACGACAGCTAACCACTGCAGCCAGTCTGGTCCTTGGGTTATATTACTTTGTCATGGTTTCCCCTCTTACTTGTATTTTCCCTCTCCCAGGCAGACTGTCATTTTCCAAGAGGCAGGAAACATCTCTTACTCAGCGGACGTTTGTTAAGCACTTAGGACACCAGCCAGTCACAGGGAAATCTTAGAATCTTGTGGGAGGGACAGCAGTGGTTTCTGGCAGGGGTAGCTGTCTCTGAGAGGGTGGCTAGGAAGCAAGACCCGGGAAAGGTGAACTTTGGGCTTCCCCTTGCAAGGTCAGCAGCTCTCTAAGCAACCCTTTCCACTTCCTAGGGTCCACAGCAGCTCCCCACAGGACACCCTCAAAGACGCCCAGAGGCTCACGGGCACAGGAGCGGTGAAGAAGCTCGGACTCGCCTGCTGTTGGTCTCCGAGTCCTCCCGGAGGGAGACGAGGGCTTGGAGCTGGGTGTTGCAGGAGTGTGGCCTGGCTCCGACAAGAAGGGTCCCCAGGCTTGGGGATGGGGACAGGAAAAGCCTGTGAAGCTCGAGTAGGGCCCAAAGCAGGAAGAAACAGGTATGGAAAAAGCGCTGCCAGGAAGGGTAAATGCTCGAATCAAACATGGGGTGGACAATTTGAATCAAATACAACAGAAGTGTGCTCCTGGCCTCTAGGGCAGAAGTGTGGTGGGCAGGGCCAGCTCCATCTTCAGGGCCACCTGGGGCCCTTGAGCGCCCGGGAGGAAGATCTGAAGGGGCCCGCTGGCTCAGGGGCCACCAGGCCTGGGGACGGGGTGGCCAAGGCCCGGCCTATCCTATAATGTATGACTCCTAGCTGTGACCACGTCTGGAACTCCTGGAAAGGTGACTCATGCCTACACTTTCATGGCCAGGTGGAGGCACGAATTTGTTCCGGGCAAAGCAGGGCCAACACACAGATGCACACCACTGCACAAATCACAGAGTCCCCAGAGACAGGCGGAGGCCGGGCGTCCCTAGCTGGTTAGGAGAGGTGGCTGGAGACGCTTCCTCTCAGATCTCCTGGGAACCTTGCCCCGGCTTCCTTCGCGCTAATAATATGAATGAAGCCTGGGAGAGAAGAGAGTGAGCGCGAGTAGGGGGAGCGGAGAGGAGGCTCGGAGAGCAGAGGAGGAAAATCGCGGCCCGGGTGGAAGGAGCGCAGGGGAGCGCGGAGCAGGGCGGAGACTGCAGCAGGGGGCGATGCTGAGGGGCGCCCGGCGCCAGCTCGGAGCGCGCGGCAGGGGTGGGCGCGGAGGGCGTGGGGCGGAGGCGCGGGCGGAGCGGGGAGGGCGGACCAAAAGGGAGG